CTGCGTATTGCAGTCCGTCTACCATTCACTTTTAGCATCACAAGTTTCCAGACCCAGACATTTTTGCATTTGATACCTTGAACCAGTCAACGATCCTTGTGCCCGCGTTGCCAAGCTCACGGATCTTCTGCACCCCCGATCCGAACCTGATGTCGTTTGACAGAGTTCGTATCTGAAGCAAAGTTGATGGAGGCATGAAAATGAATCACGGATGTATGACCTCTGGTGTGAGTATTGATGTGAGTCTGATAACCCATATGATTTGGATTTCTTTATGAGGTTCACGAAAAAAATGCTTCTCCTGAAGAGGGCAACTAACTAGAGTAAGAGTTGAAGAATACGCGCGATTGTGGTCGTCCGCACACATGCCGACAGCCTCCCCGATCAAGCGATTGTAGACGAAGCCTTCGCTTTGCGCCAGCATGTTGGTAACCGGGTCCAGGAGCTTGACCGCGCAGTCCCAGTGGCAGGTGGCGTCCTTCCGCAGGTTGTAAAAGTAGCCGATGTAGCGGACCCCATCCTGCTCGATCTCCTTTTCTTCGCGCCCGCCCAGAAACCAGCCGCCGGGAGAGCACAGATTCGCCCACCACCGCTCGTCGCTCTGCGCAATGTGGTTCACAACCTCGCGCTGCGTCGACGGGTCGTACTCGACGACTTGGGGCTGCTGGGACCCATACGGGTCGTACACGGGCTGGTACTGGGTTCCATACTGGTTGGGGTAGTACGGATCATTCGGCTGGGAGTACGGCGCAGTGTAACCGTTGTAGCCGACTTGCTGGTCATAGCCATTGTGGTAATGGGAAGGCTGCTGTGCATACGCGTTGTTGTAGTACGAATTACCTGCAGATTGCACATCCGTGGCAAGAAAAGCAGACACCACCAGTACGATCTTGACGACCGTGGAGGAAGTAGAGCTGCTTGCCCCCGCCCCAGCAGAACTCCGCGCGCCCCGCATAGTGGAGGGACGACGGGAGCTGCGGCGCAAGAGTTCGTAAAAACTCTTTACCTTCTCGATGGAATTTACTGTTCTTGATGCTCTGTTGGTCCCGGATACTGTATTTTCTTTTTCAAAAAAAACAAACTCTAAACACAAATGGACGAGAACCACCAGCGTCTTTTGCTTCTAAATCTACTTCTGTTCCTGTGACGCCGGTCCCGGTTTTCAACGACATATACGAAAACGAGGTGCGAGAGATTTCTGGCAGGAGACGACCCAAGACAGATCTATTTTTCCACGATTCAGAGACTGCGTCTGTGGCGAATTGGTCGTAGACGAAGATGGGGAGGAAGATCCGATCAAATACAAAAAGCGAGAAGACGCAAGATCCTGCAACTACGACAGCTCACTTTTACCGAGAAAGAGTTTTGACGGAGACGAACATGGGGCGAGGCTGAAAATCCTTGTGGCTGCCCGTTGGTGTAGTTCATCGTGGGTATTGTACTATCAGTGACGCTTTTACATCGCACATACACATCGAAGCTGTTGGGGACACAAACACTTTATTCTCGAAAATGATTCTCACGTCGATCTGTACAAACACCAATCACGGAAGCAGTTTCTGAACATAAACACCACGTAGAAAAGTTTGCGTAAATACATGCGATAGCGCTACATCGGAAATTTAGGTACACGAGCAAGTGCAATGTGCATACAGAACCCAGCTTCAAAACTTAATTTTTTTTGATACCTACTTTAAACTTGCTGCAGTGAAGAAATGACAAAGGTATCTGCACGGAGATAATTCTGTTTATGCCTATCAAGCGAACGCCATGAAAATTTCATCACTTGAAATCTTCCGGCAGGCTCGACCAGGACACGACCTGCGACGTGCTTCTACGGACGTGGTGGAGAGCTGCGCGTATTATATGCAGGCACAGACCATATCACACACAGAAGCTACCGACTTTTTGTTTGGTTGAAGGACCTGAAGAGTCCTGACGCTATTTTTCCAATCACACAGACAAGGAGTCAAGTACTAAGAGGAAGGAGCGGATGATGTATCTCTGATTCAGTGAATTGCAAGACCAACACTCAGCCAAAGCCACCGGCACCTTGGTTCAGGCTGTTGTATCGCTGCTGCAGCCTGGCCGCCATAGCGTTGTTGCTCCGGGCAGGCTGAAACCTGCTGAAGGAACGGCCCTCGGGCGGTATGGCGGGTGGTCGCATCGACGGTGGCGGTGCGGCGGGGGCCGCCATGGAACCCGCCTGGTTACTTGCGTTTGTTTGCAGCATGTCTCCAAACCCCGCCTGCTGCGATCCGCTACCGGTCTCGGAAGAGAGTCCACCAACAACTCCGAGCTCCCCAATCCGCCGGCGCTTTGCCGTGTCCGTGGAGTTGATGTTACCGTCTACTGCAAACAAACTACTGCTAGAGGTACTACTAGCTGCTCCACCCAGGAGTCCACGCGAGGACGAGGATAGCGTACTACTAGCACTTCTCTCGCTGATGTGCTGCTGAGACAATTGGTCTGAGAGCTTCAAGCTGCGCACCCACCGGATGACCGCTCCGCGCGTTGCGTCCGCAGTACTAGTAGATCCTGGCTTACTGCTCGACGAGGACGAGCTCGAGGATGTGCTAGCGCTGGCAGCATTACTGGAGGTCGCTTCCGACAACTCAGCCCACACGGCGTCGCAGACGGCTGCAGCGGCGGTTTCCGAGCTTTCCTCCGTGGTCGTAGAGGGAATCATGTTCTCGCCCGCGAGCTCTTTGAGCATCTGCTCGTGCATCAGTTTCAAAAACTTTTCCCCGAACACGGTCTGAAAACTCGACTTCTGCAGGTCCGGCAGGCTCTTCCGCTCGAGGAAGGGGTGGGCGAGCAGTTCCGGGAGGGTGGCGCGGTCCATGGATTCGCGCTCCAGACAGCGGCGAATGCTGTCCTGTAGCTTCTCCCAGGTGTCCGGGTCGTGGGCCAATCGGGGGCACTCCGGAAAGTCGATCACCGTGCGCGGGTCGGAGATGGTGAGAATCCGCTGCATCGGATTCAAATGCGAAAACGGCGTCCGTTTGTACACCATCTGGTACAGGATGATACCGAGAGACCAAATGTCACTGCTTCGCCCGAGTTTCACCTGGTCGTCGTGAAGATTTCGTGCGAAATATTTTTTTTTCTAATTCTAGGTACCTATTCTTTCAGAGGGCGCACACGGCTCGAGGAAATTTCAACATTCACGAAAGAAACAAATGACTTCCAACATTCATTTACCGGCCCGGTATGCGCTTGGCACACCGCTTCGGGTGCCATGTAACTGAGCGTGCCGATCTGGTGGTCGCGCTGGATATTGGTGGTGTCGTTGTTCGGGATCGCCTTCGCAATGCCGAAATCGATCAGCTGCAGCTGGTTCCGCACCAGGAGAAAGTTCGCGGGTTTCAAGTCGCTGTGCACGATGCGCTCGTCGTGCACGACCTGCACGGCCTCAAGCATCTGCCGCCAAAACCGCTTGATATCTGGGTAGTCCAGGTCCGGCTCGGATTGCAGGAATCTGGAGAAATCGGAGTCGCCGTACTCCATCAACACCAGTAGCTTCTCTTGCTTGATGATTTCACTGTCCACAATCTGGATGATGTTTGGCTTCCCCTTCAGTTTCTCCAACAAGTTCACTTCGTTCTTGAACAGCAAAAACTGTGTGGGGTTGCTGGTCAGCACTCGTTTCAGCGCGAGCGTCTTGTTCGTCTTCGGGTCCACAACTTTGAACACCTTGGAACTGCCGCCGCGGCCAACTACGCCGATCTTTCGGTACGCCGTGTCGTTTACGTAGAGGACTTTGTGGCCGTCGACAATCTTGATGTTGTCGGACGGCTCAGTCTGCTCATCGCTTGCGCTGCTGATCAAGGATTTCGGCTTCGCGGCGGAAGAGGACACACTCGCATTCATCCGTCCCTGGCCATTCGACTGGTGCTGACTTTGGCTTTGGTTTTGCTGCTGCTGCGCACCACCAGAACTCAGCTGTTGATTTTGATGTCCATGATGCGATTGGTTGCTATTCGCCGTCCGGCTCGCCGGGCTCTTGTTGCGCTGCGGTGAAGGAACGTGGTCCAGACTCTCGTTCCCCCCGGTGCTGCCGCCGGGGCCGAACAGGGAGTCGGAATTGGAATGGTGGTGCTTGTGCTTCAACTTCTGGTCATTCTCGTTTTCCTTGTTTTTGTTCGAACCGCTACTGCTGCGGTTTTCTTCTTCCAAAATCGGCGACAAGTTGTGGCTGTTGGCCGTGGAATCGCACAACATCATGGAGACCGATTGTCGTCGCATCAGCTCCTCCTGTTCCAGGCGCTTCCGCTCCTCAAGTTCGTATTGCCTTTTCCTTTCTTCCTGCTCCTGTTCCCCGGAGTTGTGCTGGTCTATCGTGCGCAAGGCACCCCGCAGCGGCGGGCCGAGAAACGAAACAGATTTCTTCGCAGCCGAGGGCTTGACGGGCGACTGGTAGCCCGGCGGCGGTTTATGCGTGCCATTCTTCGATCCTGATCCCGGTTGGTCGCCGCCGAAAAGCGACCCGCTCGGGCTCGGCGGTCTGATTTGCGACGCCGGCTGCTTCGACCCGGACCCCGGATTGTTGTGTATTGCATTGTTTCCACCTCCACCGAGAAAGTTGTTCGAGGACGAAGAACTGGACGGATTGAATCCACCTCTCACCCGGGGGCTTAACCCACCCTGCTGCATCATGTGCGCGCTGTCTGGAGGAACCTGGCTCAAGGAACTGCTTGAAGCCGGTTGCTGCTGCCCATTTCGCAAAACGTGACTACCGCCATTTGATGTAGAGGACACGACCGTCCCCCCGGCGGCATTCCCACTCCCGCCACCCAGGTTGAAGGATGGTATGTTCATACTGCGGCCCCCGGAAAGCGACCGCTCGCCACTGTTGCTCCGCAGCACAGAGGAACTCCCGGTCTGCATCGAGGACCGCTCGTTGCTGTTGCTGCGGTTGTTCGGCGCGAGGACTTGCTGCAGGTTGTTGCCGGTCGATGCGGAGGAAGACGAGCCTTTGTGGTGCAGCGTCATCCCCGCGGATGACGCGCTACCGCCGCCTCCAGACGGCCCAAACAGTTCCTGACTCCGGTCCAGACTGCGGTCTCGAGCGCTTGCCCCAACAGTAGTGGTTGGCAGCATGCGCTGCGCGGAGCGCAGGTTCTGGCCACCGAATTGCGCGAGCGACTTGTCAATGGTGCGCCGGGCCGAGCCAAACACATTCCGGTCCGCACTGTCGTTCATGTTCAACAGCTTGGACTGCATCACATGTCCTCCCGGCTCGACCGATTTTGCCAACCCCTGATTCAACACGTTTGTCAGCCCCGTCATCGGAGTCCCGTTCTGCATGCTCTTCGGTGTCTGCGCGATGTCCTGGTGTTTCTGTTTCTCTGCCGCAGTCGCGGGATTGAAGTTTGTTGACGCGGAAGATGAAGCAGGCCCAAATTTGTTTGCCTCGTGCGAAGATGTACCGCCATACGCGTAGTTTTTTGAGCTGGATGGCGCATCGTTGTGCACCTGTTGCTGCACTTGCCCGGGATTGTGGTCCGTGCCAGCATTGAACTCTCGGCTCTCCAGAAAAAATTGCAGCTGCTTGGCGATCTGTAATTTTTAGCACCGGCAAAACATCACAAGTGCGACGAGGGGGCATTAGATCACGTTGCTAGACTGTCACCGTAATGGTTGAGCGCCGGCATAGTACTAGCGAACAAAATTCTATTGGAACAAGAAGCGTGGACCCAGCGGGGCTAAAAGTAAAAATACAGCAAAGTATGTACCATTTCCTTCCCCTGCACGTCGCTCGGCAACAGATCGGCGTTTTTCAACCCCGCAATCGCTGCCTTGGTGTTCCCCCGGCTGTGGTCCCAATTCGCCTTCTCGATGTACATCTGCGCAATGTTTTTTCCAACCCGGTATTTGATCATAGTCTTCCAAATGGTGTCCACCTGGGACTTTTGTCCCATCTGTTGGTAAAGCATCGCCGTTGAAAGCATCATCTTGAAAAACGGCTCGCTGCACTGGTACACGTCGGGGCTGTTCTTCTTTATCACGCTCGCGGCGCAGTACCGCTTGAGGGCCGAGAGGCTCTCGCTATCGTACTCCGTGGTCCGCTGCAGGTTGTCCAGCTGCTCCAGCACCTTCTGCATGTTACCGCCGCATGCGTCAATCGCCTGCTTGCTTCGGGACGACGACGACATGCTGAACTCGGCGGGGGTCGTGTTAAGTGGTGCAGAGGCCTTTACTGTTTCACGCAGATTTGATATTTAGTCTTTATCGATTGAAGTCGCAAGTACAAGTACCAGGGAAGGGTATAATGTCTTACTCTTCGGTATCTCTTGGATTTTCTTCAGAAAAATACGTATAAGTACTTACTTCCACCTTGGCGGGTTATTTTAACTTTCAAGAAAAAAGCTTCAGTCTTAGAGTACTTCCTACACTTCTTTTGCGTTGCACCTCCTCGCTAGGTGCTGGGAGTAAGTACACCAATTTCCAGGATCGAAGCACACGTGCCAAAAGTGAAAAGCATGAAACGACGAACGACAAGCGAACCGATTCTGGCTAGGTAGAGTTGTCAAAATCTCTCGTGCGAGGCCTTTGGTGAAAAAGTCGAAAACTCTTAAATCAACCAAAATCAAGTCGACGATGGTGGCGCAAAACGATCGACCGATACGAACTCACACAGTGCCTCGGAAGGGAAGCTTTATTTTCACGATTCATCAAGGCTTCTGCTTTGGTTTGCGGCCGTTGTGAGTTGTTGTGGAGAAAACTTGTACTTGGTTGTTGGTATTGCTTGGAATGCAAGATTATACATAGTGCAAAAGAATTTCGTTTTGATACAAATCTCTTCTATTTCTGACTTCAAAACTGGTGCGTTGAAACTGGAGCTACAACATACACATATCAATACAGCAAAAAATTTTACAATACACGAATTCTCTTGTTGAAAAGGAAATCTACGAATGCGAATCATTGACTTCATACATTATTTGAGGTACTTACTTACATACATTTTTGTCGACAGGGAATCAACCTTTCCGCGACGCTGGATCGGGTTTATTTGGTTCCATCTCTTGTTCATTTTCAGTCGGCGGTGCGGTCGACACATCTTCCCCCTGTTCGTCCGAGGAGGCAGCGATGCTGGACGATGTTGTTGTCGTTCCCGCTGGAACTCCGCCTCCGCCCGTATCTGGGTTCAGATTGATTTGGTTTTGCGACGACGACGAGGTCGACGACGACGACGCTGTCAATAACATTGCGGTCGTGGTGGTGCTGAGTTCATCCGCGCTGTCAGAGGTAGGATGATTCCCCTCCTCAGGCTTCTCTTCGTCCTCGTCAATCCAGTCGCGGACCGAGACCACCGCTGGCTGCCTGTCAACACTTCTGCTCACCGCGATCCCTAGATCGTCTGCAGCACGGGAGCCTGCGGCAGTTGTGCCACTAGTAGTACCGTTGCGAACCACGTGCAAGCGAGCAGTAGCCGCTCGCTCTCGGGAGGAAAACCCGCGGTTCTGGCCCACGGAGTTGTTCGACGAAGTAGCTGTGTTGTTCAGCACGTCACCGGTAACAACCCTACTTCTCGGCGTGGGTCCTCCGCTGCTGCTCGACGTCGCCGACCTTGTGGTGTTGATCAACGGCTGAATCAACGAGGAGTACATCTGTTCCAAATAACCCGAAGATTGGTTAGTACTCTGCGGCTGCTGGTCGTGTGCAAGGACAGTAGTCCCACCTTCGTTTTGATTACTATACTGCAGTAGTGCCCCTACTTGCTGTTCCAAAAACTCGTCCCTTTCGTCCCCGGGCGCGAAATCGTCGTCCGTGAAATAGTACAGGTCGTCGTCGTCTTGCTGCTGTTCACCTTCCGGTAGGTTGCTGGCGCTGTTGTTCCCGACCGTATTTCCACCGTTGTTCCAGCCGTACAGCGTGTTTTCCTGACCTATCGCGTTCGTGCCCAGCATGCCGAAGCGTTCCTCGTCGTCATCCAGGTCATTATCAAATGTAAAAATGTCTGGGTCTGGAAACTTGTGATGCTGGGTAACTCTCATGATGAGGCCACAGATGCTGGCTCAGCATGACAAGTTTCTGAGCCTCTAGGTGTTGCCTATTCTGCATGACAAACTGCGTTTCTGCATCACAGAAAAACAGAGCTCCTGGGTAACGTGCATGACAGACTTAAGAGTCATGCCAGACAAGCATGACAAACATGCATTCTTCCAGACCCAGACATTTTTACATTTGATAGTCATCGAACATGTACAAATCATCCCCGTCGACCGAGGAGAGCATCTCATCGAAGGGCACCGGGGGGAGTTCCGAAGACAGGAGCTCCTGGTGCCGCAGGGAGGCGTAGGAAGGGAACACGCAGTAGTTGAGCGTGACGGAGATCAGGAAAATGACGCCAAGCAAAATCCCGAAGAAAAGCACCTTCCACTGGTGGCTGATCTTCTCCTGCCAGTACAGCTCCTCCTCCAGGCAGGCATTGTACACGTCGGGGTTCAAATGCTCCGCGAAGTGCACCGTTAGGTCCATGTCCGTGAAACCCAGCAGCATGCCGGATAGCTCGCCGAGAAAAGCCTCGCCGAGGGACACGCGGAAACCGTAGTCCAGCATGCCGAGGGACGTAGACTTCTGCAGGTTCAACAACGCGTCCCGGATGGCCAGTGTGGTCTGCTCGCTACCTGACGAATTTCATCAATTTGCCGCACATGATAGGGCTGATGTAAAGAAGACTGAAACTGGTGGCAGAAAACGTTTTACAAAAAATGCCTACGGTCAGCGCAAAAACTCAATGTCTCAGGTACTTACCATCGAGATTCAGGACTTCCAGGTCCAGCACCGCATAAACTTCTTGTTGGGACGGCGCCTGCGGGCTGACGGGGAGCTCGAACAGTTTGGCGATGGATTCGAGCGTTCTGTACTCCACGTTTTTCATGTCCACTAGTCCTGCCGGAACCAGTCCGGCTGCGGTTTCCGGTCTATTGCCAGCAGTGATAGACGAAGAAGAACTGCTTAGCGTCGACGAGCCATGCTCCGATTGGATCTCGACTTGCACAGGGCTCGTATTGTCCAGATTCGCGTTCCACTGCGAACTGCCAGAAAACGGGGGTAGCAGGTGGTGCCCACGATAGACGGAGGAAGATTCTCGCCCAAGCAATCTGGCTTTATTCCGAGTTAGCTGTTCTTCTCGCGCGGCAAGCAACTCCTTTTGTCGACCAGCTCCGCTTTGATACAGTAAATGGGCAGCAGCTCCTCCGTGTCGTGATGCTGTTGTAGCTCCTCCTCCTGATGCAGCAATTTCTATTTTCTGGAGATTCGAAGTCGCTGATATCTCCGTATTGCGATCGCCATTCATCGAAACAGGTGGTCGCGGCGCATTCTGGTGCTGGTGGTTTGCTAATGTTGCCGAGCCTGTATCACCGTCTGCTGCGATCGCGATGCTGTGCGCCGAAAACCGGCGAAACGGTTTCGCATACAGCAGTTCCGAGGTCACTTGCTCGTGCAGCTGGAGGAAGGAAGAAAGGATTGCGGACTTTGAGAACTCTGTTCCGTTTACTCGATTCGAACGCATCAAGCCTAGAGATGCTGCAGAGGCGTTGCTCGCACTTGCAGGAGTTAGAGGAGCTTGTCCAGACTTACTGGCTGAAGAACCCTTCGCTTTTAGCTTATGCTTCGCTTTGTGGTCCTTTAGCGTTCCAGAATCCACAGTAGATCTAGTATTTTCCGCTGAACTTCCTGCTTGGTGTTCTGTCTCTTTCACAACTACTCCGGCGTTTGTGTACACACGATTGTCAAAGTCAAGAATGCCTTTGCTTAACTCCGAGGCACTACCGTCGCCGTGCCCGGGCGACGCGGAGGTCTCGCCAACAACATCTACTGCGTTGCTGGACATTCTTGTGGTCTCTGGCCGCGGTACGGTCTGCGCTTCGACTCCGGTATGAACGCGAGGAAGTGGCTTGTAAGGGGAGCCCTTTGCAGTGGCTTCTTTGTTCTTCCCAGAGTCATCGCCTGCTACACCAGCTGCGTCAGAAGATGATGCTATTGATGCGCTTGAAAGATCCTCGAGGGTGGAATTCTTGTTCTCCGCCGCTCCCTCGCTCTTCCCTGTGGGAGGTTCCTGAACCACCACGCCGCCCTGCTCCCGTCGCGCCCGCAGGTCCTGCGGGAAGAGCAAAACCTTGGTAACCCGCACGGCCGGCCGGCACACCTTCAACTCGTTGGCCAGGGAGTCGCGGACGGCCGCAGCGACGCCGCGCCCCACCTCGTTCGGATGGATGGCCTTCCCGTCGGTTCGTTCCAGGCTCAGGGCTAAGCTGGCGCCCATCGCCGGAATCTTCGTGAAGTCAACCGGTTTGTTGTCTGCGCTCGGGTTTGCCTTGGAAAGCGGCGCCAACGCCTTAGCCGGATCATCCGGATCGAGCTGTTGGACTTGTGCCTGGACACGCTGGGCCAGCTCCTGCTGCAACCGATCCTGCAGCTCGCTTTTCTCCTCCAGACTCGCCAGTGCTTGGGCTGTTTTCGTCTTCGCGACATGTGCGTGCCGTGCGTGGGGCACAGTTGGCGCGATGTTTTTACTACCAGGTCGAATCACTGCCGTCGGGGTGCGCCGATGGAGGACCTTGTAGCTCCCTTCTGGGCCGTGATGGTGAGCAGGGGCTGCAGATGCTTTTGTATCGTCTTCTGGTAAGGCTACGTGTTCCGCTCGGACTGCGGTTCTTGCATTTGGGTCCATTTCAGAGCCAAGCGGAAATGAAACCAGGTCTGTGTGGGCAGCCAAGTGTTGGCTCTGCGCCAGTTCCTCCAACGAAGACGGTAATTGAACGACATTTTTGTGCGCGTCGATACCGGTTACCTGTCGTATCTCCACGAAAACCGGGTGGCACACGAAGAGGAGATAGACGATCATGAAGTTGCTTTTCATTTTGTTGGCACCTTAACCTGATTCCGTTGCTAAAGCTTCAACACCAGAATGAAGATAGAAACAAACACCACGGAAAATGAAACGTCTTTCACTATTTTGATCGTGAAATATTATGTGTCTCGATTGATTCAAGGGCCACAAAAATTTTACCGAAAAAAGCAAAGCGCATCGTGTCTTCGACACCAGAAATCAAGATCAACGCAACAAGGCGAATTCCACAACTATCTCGTCTGGTGGGAGAACGAAACTCAATTCAGCCAAGTAGCCCCTCGTCTTATCAAGCAACAGACTCTCGTTCGATAATGCCACGAGCATCTCAATGAGTGAACGCGTTCGCGAACATATACGCACGAAACACTAACTGATAGGCTAGCTGTTACATCGGTCGAAAAACGACCGTTGCGAAGTGACAAATTATGTGGTGGATCATGTGGTCCAACTTGATGAGCCACATTCTTATCTATCAAATCGAAACAAAGAATTCGGAATAGGGATATTGCACAGCCGGGGTATGGGTAACCGTCGTCACTACAAACATGTGCCAAGCCTAGGAACGAGTGACACCCAAAATCAAACAAAGCGAAACCAAAATAGCGACGAAAAAATGGAAACGATTGAAACCGCGAAGATCTTCCTTTCTATTATGATTGCTTTTTCATTTCCTCCTCCGCATCGAGCTCGGCGGCAATGTCTTGGATGATCTTTGGCGTGATGGCGACTTGGTAGTCCTTGATTGCCGGGTCGTTTTGCTTCATGATTTTTTCGTGGAATCGCAACCCGATCCGCATGTTTTTCATACAGATCGGGAGGGGGAACTGAGCGTGGACCACGTTGTACAGTGGGAGAATGACAAAATTGAGAAAACCGACCTGGGTTTTCGCGCGTTTCACCGGCGTTTCGAGTCCCTCCGGAAACATGGTGACGGGTATCCCCAGCCGCTGCTCGGCCTCCGCCTGCATCTGAAACTCGTCGAGGACCAGGTCCGTCCAACGGAGACTCTGGGCCAATTTCGATCCCATGATGCCGATATCGCCCATGTGCAGGAAAATTTCGCAGACCAGCTGCCGCTTCTCGTTCGGCACCGGCTCGAAGTCCTGCAATTTCGAGATCACCTGGCGGCTCTGCATCGAGGCCCGATTGACCTTGCTAGGTCTTGTTACCTGACTCGTTTTTGATGGCGATTTTTTGATTTTACTTCCCTCGCCGGCGTCCACCGGAGCAGCACGGGGAGCAGCTGCCGGTGCTTCGTCGTTGCTGGTGTTTACCATGGATTCCATGCCGTCTTCGTCCTCACTGTCGCTCTCGTCAGAGGCGAAGCCGCGCTCGCGAAAGTATTTGCAGAGCGCGTGCGCTTCGCGGATGTGCTCCCCGTGGAATTGCATATCGGTTTGCAGAATCGACTTCACGAACCGGGCCCGGAAGGTGTCGAACACCGGTCCCCGGGCGGCGGAGCTGCAAATGCCCGTGGACATCAGCGCATTCCAGCTCACTGCCGCGTGGTGCATCTCCAGCACCGATTGGTCGTTGTACCTGCAGGCCAGGTCGGACCGCGTGGCCACCTCGAACTGGTTGGTGAAGCCACGGTGCCCCGCGTCGTGGCCGAGCGCGGCTAGAATCACCGCGACGATGTCCAGTTTCTGCAGCTCCTCGCGCAGCAGCTTCGCTTCCCGGAGAAGCAGAAACGTCACCTGCGCGACCTGCAGGGCGTGGAAGTAGTTGTGGTAGGGCACCTGCTCGGGCGGCAGGTAAATGTCCCGCACCAGCTTGCAGTACTGCGTGACGAGCTGCTGCGTTAGCGTGACGCTGCGATTGTTCGTCAAGTTGGTCTTCAGCCCGGCGAGCTCCACATCCAACACGTTGCATTGTCGCAAAATGCTGATCACCATCTGGTCCTGCTGCGCCGGGGCGCGCAGGTCCAGCACGCAAAGGTCCCAGCTTACCGGCATGCCGCGAGGCGAATCCTCTGCCCCGGAGGAAGAGGAGGAAAATCCGCCCACACACACCAGCGCTTCTAACGTGTGCTCGTTACTTGCATTCTCACCTGATTCTGCGGTCTTCTTGCTATCCGGCTTTTTCGACAGCTGTGCCAACATGGCGGCCTTCTGCTCGCCGGCACCTTCAGCCGCGCTGCTGCGTACCAGGAGCGCGTTCTCCTGTGTGCGCCTCTTCAGCTGCTCTTGATCGTATCCGTACGCGCCAAGCAGCGACTGCGTGTTGTTATCCAAGTTGACGCTCGCGGCCTCCAGCACCAAGTCCGCCTTCAAGCGATTGAAGTGGGAGGCCAACTGCACGGACATAAAGCGCAGTCCACGCACGTCTTCGTGCGTGAACCCGGCGGTTCCGAAGCCACGTACCACATCGCGCTTGTTGCACAACAGCAGCAACGCCACCACTTCTTCGGGGGAATACATCATCTGTTGGCCCTGCGGCCCCTCGCGGGACGCACGATGGCCACGGGAGCCACGGAACACGGGCATGACCACGAGATTGTTGATGTTGTCATGTCCTAGATCCGGCAGCAGCTTCTTGTGCACGTTCCTATCGGCGTCTTGCGGGTCGTTCACGACGACCGGCAGTCCGGTCGCGATGGCCCGCGCCAGGCAAGAGTTGGCCACCTCGTGCCCTACCCCGTAATAGAGCAATCGCGGGAGTTGCACGATGTCTCGCGGATTGTTCGTGTTTTTGGTCGCAGTTCCAGAAGTGCTATGTGTACTTTCCCCGATCCCGAGTGGAGTGCGAACGCTCTGCTTCGTCGCGTCGTGCAGCAACAAACATCCCGCCTCGCAACTCAGCAGATGCGGCAGCGTGAACTGTAGAGCCTGGATGAGATCCCGCACCGAATTGCAGCGCATGAATTTTTCCGAGAGCGACCACATCCGCAGCTTCGACATCCGCTCCTGGCTGATTTTCGCTACTGCGTTTGTGATGCGCAACGCCACGTTCAGAGGCCCCTGGACCATCGCGCACGCAAACTGCACGGCGCTCTGCCCATGGTCCATTTGGCCCGCAAAGAATTGCGAGCCCCGCAGGTACTGCCTCCCGTCCTGGCCCGTTAGCATAGTCCCCGAGTTATGGCGCCCGTAGTTCGCAAACTGCACCACGGCAATTACATGTCCGCGGTGGCTCGTCTTGCTACCTTGACGGCTCGCTTTCTTATTCGTCTTTCTCGAAGCAGTCGTCCCGCAATTTGGAACTGCGAAATCAAGGTCTTTCGAACCAGAGGACCCTGCTTTTCCCAGTTGTCGAATGGATTTCTTATGTTTCGCTGGTTCTGCTTCATCTAGCTCAACTGCGGTCGGCTCCCGTCTTTCCTCCTGCTCCCCATCCTCCTCGGAGTCTGTGGCAGCGGCACGATCAGACCGGCGCGGAACATTATCTGAACCGGCTGAATTCTCGCTGCGCTTTCTCGTACGATCATTCTCCACATCTCCTGCTGCCTCTTCGTCCTCGCTCTCAGACGAGCGTGCTGCGCTGCTCGAGGCTGAAAGTACTTCGAGCATCGCGGTCTGCATCAGCCCTGCACTGCTCGGGGCTGAAGATTTCCTCGCGTTAGTTGTGGTAGTTCTGTTACCGACCTGCTTTAGGCTGTCAACCGTGGGCGTCAAGCGTCTCTGCACCGCTAGCACGTCCTCAAGTGCTTCTGTTGTGACTCGTTTTCGGAAACTGGTGAAGTCTTCGCCCTTTACTTTTTCGGTGCGACG